CATTTTATATGCAGCTGAGAACATAAGAACAGATACTCACGTGGAGAGAGATGATTCAGCCCTTTTAACATCAGGGAAGACAAGAGATACTGGATGGTAGAGACGGAGTCATCTGCAACAACTTAGATCTGTGTTTGTCTGCATGATTTGGAATTCATTGATTTATTTAGATATATGAGGAGTAACAGATGGATGACCAGAAAATATAGATCAGCTCATCAGCTCAGACTCTCGTCCAAGCATAAACTGTCGACCCTGACACTAGTGGACGACCTTCTGTGCCGGCTGAATATGAATAAACAGGAAGATACAAATACATTCTCAGGTTTCACTCTGTGCTGGATAATGACTGTGTTGGAGACATTTCTTTTTCACATTCGATTGTACAGCACACTGGATATAAAAGTCAGCCTCTCCACTTCAGCTACGTATTGTAGTGGGAGCACAATAACTTGGCAACCGTGTTGCTGTTTTGAATCCTTATTCCAGTGGGTGGTGGTGATGGTGGTGGTGGCGAGTGTGTGTGTGAGCAGAAAAGTGACACACACTGCTGTCCCTCAGCAGCCGCTTGTGGAAGGGCCCTGGAGCAAGGTACTTAACCCCCCGCTGCTGGAGTGGAGCTGCTCAGGGCTCAACAACAAGCTCAGGGTGTCTACACATGTAACCCTCCCCCTGCCACCACTCCATCACGCTGCTGTTGTCAGACGGTCCTTGTGGGAAACTGGGCTCACACACACACACACACACAGAGAGAAACGCGCTTTATTACAGAGAAGAAAACACAGAACCGTGCAGACAGAACAGAAGAATGAGAGGGGCTGCCTGTGACGTGACTTTGGCTGTGGCTCAGGATGTTTAGCGGGTCGTCCACTTACCAGAAGTTCGACAGTTCTTCATGTCAAAGTGTCCTTCAGAGAGATACTGAGCCCCATATTGGCCCTGAATGTCTATGATAGAGAACGTGCTCCACAGATATGCACTTTATGAATGTGAGTGTGCGTTCTTTTAAGTGCTTTAAATGGTAATATATAAATCCAGACCATTTACTGATGAGGCATCACTGGTACTTTCACTCAAAAGCCTTAAACAACTTTGTTGGATTGAAATTATTGAACATCAGAGATTTGATTGTCATTTTACAAGATGTTGGATGGAATTAGAAAGAAGGAAAAACATTCTGCACAGAATTATGTTTTTTTCCTTTCATAATATTTGCTATTTTCTCGTATAACACATGTTCAAAACTCAGACATATGTAACTTGTCACTGGGGGTTAGTCAGATAGAAAGGATACAGCTAACAAGTGTCATAACCAATTAATAGTTTTGTCTTCCAAATGTCATATGGACATGAAAACTGTCCGTCACCTTACCCTGATACCAAATTGAAAGCCTTGATGACCATGTTGTCTTCGCTAGCAGCTGTTGCACAGTTTAATTCTGCATGTCATAAGACTACAGTACACACACGCCCAGTTTATGTCAATGGTCATATGAGGTGGTTTTCAAACAACGGTATAGACAGAGATTATCTCTGATGTAGAGATGGACTGGAAACCGCTTTTGAATTTAAATGCCGTGGAAAAATGAAAGGTTTTAGTGTGGACGTAGCCTGTGTGTGCATACAAGTGTGGCACCATAAAAGCCTTTGATGAAAGACAGTCTGAGAGTGTGTGGTTATTCCCGTCTGAATGATCCATACACTGTGTAAAAACTACAAAGAAGTCTCATTTCAAAGTCAGATTTAAAAAGAAAAGAGCAAGAAGAAGTAGGATGAAGCCAAGGCGAAGGTCATGTGGAACAGTTACACATATATATATACAGTATATATATATACACAGTTTATAGAATTCTATTAAGTTCCAGCATACTGACCCCTAAACCGGTCAGTGACAAATAACATGATAAATGAAAAGTTGGGACTGTGAGGTCAAAAAGGGTTTTTAAATGCAGCCAGTGCACATGACGCAGCCGAGTGTGTTGTTAACCAGTGTCTTCTACAACAGCTCTGGAAGCAGTCTTGAAGTAGCGGCAGCTCAGTGTCAATAAATGTTGAAACGGACTCAACTGTCCAAGATCATAAAAAGAATAAAAGGATGAAACCCTGAAGGGAGAGAAAGAGAGATTTTCAGATGGACTTATTTTCTTAACATTTTACAGTGGAGTACTTGGGCATAAAAGGTGACACACACCTTCAATAGAAACCATGAAAATCACTGAGATTGGAGTTAAAAGTCTGTGAGTCGCCATTGATGTGCGGCTCCTGTTTGCCAGCGGATTTTTCCTTTAAAGCGAAAAAAAAAATGAGAGAGAAAACAATTTTGAAGCTCCCCACGCCTTTGTTAAATCTGAACGAATCCAACACTGTAGGTCTCCTCCTCGTCCTCCTCCTGAAGAAATATCCTTTCATCTCTCTCTTCTTTGTTGCTCTTTCTCCCTCCACCTCCTCCTCCCATCTCGCCCCTTGTTTCATTCTCTCGCTCAGAGATCTGAAGGCTTTGTATGACTTTAATGGGGCTTACATTGAATGTTGCATACTCCTCGCTGTAATTGCCCATCATGTATCTGGCTAATCATGGCGGTGGAATCTGGGGGAGATCGCGTTGACTGTTAATTGACACTGATTGTGATTGGTTGAACCATTTAAGCAGTTAATTAGGAAATTGATTATACATATCATCAGCAGTTAATATTGTGTGTTTCAGGACCTGAAAGTCAAGATCAGCAGGAACTTATTTTTTATTTTGTCATTAGTGAGTCCTTCTCAAACAGTTCTAAAATATACTGTCACTTTTTATTGTTTGTGTGCAGAGCTTTTTATAAACAGTCTCTGGTGCAGAGTGAAGTTATAAAACCTTGTGTGTATTTTCTTTATTACTGTTCATGTGGCTTATATATCAATTTGAATGATTTATTAATTGCTGTTATTTCAGAGATCTGTTAAGTCGACACAATCTTCAGACCCATGTTCACAGTGTCTCAAAATAAACGCTCTGTAATTGTGCTGGGAACAAAGCATTACAGCAATGAAACAAATGTTGTGAGGGGACGAAAAAGGAAGAAGACACAGTAGATGGTTGTAATGCACCTAGATGTTGGTTGCCACCTTCCAATAAACTGAAAAAAGAAAAAGAAGAATAAAGGTTGTGCTTTTACTTTGTAGATAACTTGGTCCAGAAAGTGAGTCTGAGAACGTTGGGGCTATGATGGAGTCTGTTGTCTCAGTCCGATATGGTGAAATAAAATAATCAAATTATCAAAATGATCTGGCTGCGATTTTGATCTGCGGGTTGACCCAGTTTTTGATCACTGCTGTAGTTTAACCAGGGATGTAGAAGAAGACATTTTCAACTCGGTCCACAAACT